CTAGAATCTGGAAAGTAAATGGCCTAAAAAATAAATTGCAATCATTAGTTCAGGATGTAAGCTAGATGTTGCTAGATCTCCACAGTTCAGAAATGGTTGTAGCTCACACATTACATGTAAGTAACTATACAGACACACTCCTTATTACCCATGCCACCTAGAAATCTGAAGAAGCTGTATTTAAAGTTCCCTTCCAGTCTATAGACCTGCTTTCTCAGAGGGAATGCAACCCCAAGAGCCTGGATTCTTACTGACAAACAGCAATTTTTATTTTCCAGATTTAATTTGTTTCCCCTCCTATAGTCTGGCAACTTTTTCTTTTGTTAGATGACAAGGAAAAGTAGACGTTGCCGATCCTCAAACTGTGGTTGCATTTCAAAAGTATATTGGATACAATATCAGAGCCTCGTTTTATTTTTAGCTTTATTAAATTAATTTTCTTTATAAAAATAAAAAATAGTAAATGGAGTATAATCATACATAATGTAGTTATTTTTGTGCAGTGCTACATACTGTATTGTAATCTATACATGAATGCAATATTAACCTCACTATACTGTGGTTAATGACCGTAGTATAATTTAGTGGAATCACCTGCTAGTACACCTGCCTCTAAGATTATTAGAGTATATCATTTTGTGTCAATTGCTGCTATTCTGTGGGTACTGTTTTCCTCCACCTGCTACTTATAACCTCAGAACTGTGTGAAGGTCTAAGAAATTACCTAGGGAAATTACCTTTATTGCTCACCGATTGTCTGTGCCTGGATTTGGAATGTAATACAAAGAACATTATAAGTCTACATATAAAATGTTTTCTATAATCTAGATTATAGATTGTCCCAAATTACATTCTGTTGAGAAATGAAAGTTAAATTTTTACTTAAGCATAGAACTTTATAATACGATTAATGAGAATCCATTTTTAAGCATGAATATGAAAATTCAGTAGAATTCAACAGAAAATTACCTGCCTTGTTCTGTTGTTATGCTTGGAGCTGCTTACAGTTGGTTGGAGAGAAAAAAGGGAAAAAGTCTTGTATGAAAAGGCGTTAGAACATTGATTCTCCCAATAGAAGTAAATAGAAAGGCATAAGGAAAAGAGATAAGGAAATTACTTGCAATGGAATAAATTGAATTATATTACAAAATATCACACATAAATGTGTGGACTTTACTAATGAAAAGTATGAAAAAAGATGTTTTGTAGAATGATCAAGGGAAAGAAGTTGGGCCTGAGAAAAATTAATGAAATTAATGAAGAGTATATGAGAATGATTTGCTGCAAAAACTGAAGGCAAGAAAAAGATATATTTAGAGAAATGAAAAAGTGATTGTAAAGAATGTATATAAAGAGCAAAGAATGATTAAGATTAAAAAGGCAGAAAACAGTGTGATTTTGGAGTTGTTAAAACTGATTTGAGAGTGGGTCAAATAAACTTTCAATGTAGTAAATAGAATTAAGAATAAAAAGTGATTAAGTTTTTTGGGCTTGTAGTTAATGAGGGAAGGAATGTTTTAAAGATTTGTATGGGAATGATTGAAGAATGGAATTAAAATGAATGATGTTAGGGTGCAAAGAAAAATGATAAAAAGCTCCCAATAAGATATTATTAAATACCTTTTATAAAAAGTGAAGTGAAAGGTTTTGCACATCTTGGAAAGGAATGATGTGCAATCTTTCCCTTTGTTCATCATTTTTTAAATAGCTCCATTTATCTATAATGATGGCTCTGAAAAAAATAACAGTAGGAATTTACAACTGATGAGATGAAATATGGTTGAAGACACTGAAGCTTATCAAGAAACTGGAAGGTTTTTTCTTTAAGCTATAGAGCTTAAAGAAGAAGCCCCCAGAGCAGGTACCTATCAAAGAGACCCAACAGCAGAAAGCAGGGTTCAGGTAAGAAGATGTACCAATGCAGTTCTCATTATATCATTTAGACATCTTCAAGCAAACTTTTAACCAGCTAGTATTCCACAAAAGGGCTAGACGCAGGGGTAGGGAACCTTGGCTTTTTTATGACTTGTGGACTTCAATACCCAGAATTCCTGAACCAGCCATGCTAACTCAGGAATTCTGGAAATTGAAGTCCAAAATCATAAAAGAGCCAAGGTTCCCTACCCCTGGTCTAGAGGAAGCACTTGCAGGTAACCAGGACAGGAGATGAAAATAACATTGAGTCACTCCTTGAAAGGCAGCTCTATCCTCAACTCCCAAGTGGCCAAGTAATTAAGGTCAGTTATCACCTGTGCTTGTATCCATCCTGAGTGAAGTGAACTATAAAAGTTAATGCAAAAAGTACAGGGAAATTAATTGCTTAAATTAATGAGATTAATCTGTTTATTGATGAATTTTTGGAACCCATTATATTTATATGATTTATTATTCTGGGTTTTTTTTTAGTTCAGATTGCCTCTTTATGTATGTTTAATTGTTTTTATTGTTTTCTGGATTTTATAAGCTGCCTAGAGTCTAATGGTGTGGGCAGCTATAACAAATTTAGTAAATTAAGTTTCCTGGCAATTATTTGGCTGAATTCTAATTGAAAAAGTATAAGGTAAACATAAGTAATTAAAAAGCCTCCAAAGCCTCCAACTACAAGCATCTTCAAAAATGTAGTCTGGTTTTATATCAAACAAAGGATGTGTAGACAGATGTTTGCTCTTCAAAAAGCCCTTGAAATATGTTTTAATGTGAAAAATGATAAATTGTATTGCTCTAGAAAAAGCATATAATCAAGGGGCTATGTTTGACTTGGAGAATATTTTGTACAAACTTCGACTTCAAGATTTGTTGCTGAATGTAATAAGAGCGTGCTTTGGAGTAAACAGAAGTATGTGTCAGAATAAAGGGGTTGTTTACCAAGTGATTTATAATTGAGCAGGGAGTAAGGCAAAGATATGTGATATCCTCTTGTTTGTTTAAGGTGTTTATTAATAAATATATAAAGGATACTTGTGGTGACAACAGGTGTTGGTTGAGAACATTAATGTAGATGTACTTTTACATGGAAACAAAACAACATTGCTGGCTGAGACCCAAATTGTTTGTAGTGAAATGGATAGATGTTATGGTATGATGGGGTAAGAATCTGAAAATAAATGTATCACAGATCAGAATAGTTGTGAGAAAATGTAAGATTGCAAAGATGAATTTGTGTACCCCAGAAGAATATTTACTAAGCATAGAAAATTAATGGGAAAAAATAAAATGTGCACATGCTGGTAGAAAAATAATACATAATAGTGTATGTGATCTATTGCAAGGAATGAATACTTGCCAAAAGAAGTGAAAGTGGCTATGTATAAGAGTATATTTCTACCCACTTGTTAAAAAGAAGTAAAACTTGCAACATCAAAGCAAGTTGAACGCAGGAGAAACACATACTTAAAGAGTGTTGGTAGTAAAACTAGCATGAATACTTGATGAATGAGTGTAGATAGAATACAAAAGTGAGTGGCAGTATGTTACAAAAGCAATATGTTAAAGTGGTTTGCTCATATAGAGAAGATAAACAAGAATCAAATTGCAAAACAAATACAGTATATGAAAGAAGAGTTACTGCTTCAAGAGAATTGGTGATTGCATGTTATCAGATATTCCAAAATGAGAATTGAGAAGTTTAAAGAACAAAGGACAACATATGAACAGAGTATGGACTTCTATTCTACCACAGTCAAAAGATTGTTGGTCATACAAAACACAATTCTGGACAGAATATTTACAATAAAAGTATTAAAATATCCATGATATAAAATATGTTTGTGTGTGTGTTAGTGATGCAAGTAAGAAGATTTGCAATAATAAAAAGTTATGAATAGATTGAATTGATAATGAAATGGATATAGTTATAATGTTTTCCTTTGCTTTTAATTTCTTGTTCTAACTTATTCATCATGGTTTGTAGAAAGTGTGTGTGTGTGTGTGTGTGTGTGTGTGTGTGTGTACTGTATATGCAGGTCTTGGTGTATTCGGGTGTTTTCCCGTGTAAGATTGAGAGTATCTTGGCGACGTTTCGATGAGGTCCCACTCGTCTTCTTCAGGCTGGGGTCTTCGGCTTCGTGCTTGTGCGAGCAAAGTGTGATCGGAGCTGCCGTCTCTCTATATATATTGGTGGAGGTGTGTGGAGTGCTGGCTTAGTTGTTGTAGGTGGATTGGTTGGCTGTGTAGGAGCTATTGTTTGTGGATTGTTTGGCTGTTTCGTAACATCCTGAGTAGTTGAGGTGCTGGCTGTGTGCCCATTAGTCTTTTGTGTTGTAACGACCTGGGTAATGGGTTGTGTGATGACATCCTGAGATCTAGTGTACTGATATCCTAAGTTCTGTGTTGCACCATCCTGGGTGGTTGGCTGTGTTGTAACATCCTGAGCTTTGGCGTTGTAGCCTCCTGAGTTCTGTGATGTGATGTCCAGGGCTGAAGGCTGTGAAGTACCATACCGGGCTTTGGTTTGGCTCCGAGTTTGCAGTCTAGCTCTGTGTTCATGGCATGTGTCTGTTTGCTTTGTGTGGGGGTCAGAGGGAGGTGCAGCAGCTGGTGATGTCATCGTGGTTTGGCTTCTGGATGGTGGTTGCATTTCGTCTGAGGGATGGGTTTGGGTTTGGGTTTGGGTCTAGTGAGAGTGAATGGTAGTGGCGTACTGTGTTGTTCTGGGTCCGGTGTCAGTTTTCGTGGCTAGGACTCATTTGTTGATTAGAGCTAATTTCCAGATGTCTGGTAGACGGGAGGTATCATCACATTTATTCATGTTGTGGGGGTGTTTTTCTATTTCAATGGCTTCCATAATTATTCTCTTGTTGTGGTGTTCAGTTTTGGAGATTAGTTTAGATTAGTGGGACCTCGTCGAAACGTCGCCAAGATACTCTCAATCTTACGTGGGAAAAGACCCAAATACACCAAGACCTGCATACCTATACCCGTGAAAACCTACGAATATAATAGATATAAATCTAAGGTTTATTTAATCTTACATTCTTTGTTATTTCTTTTCATCCCATAAGATCTGGAGTTGGTGTGACAGGATCAAAGCATACATTATTTTATGCACAGATAACTGATGACATGAAATCTAGTGAAGGAGGTGGCCAGGCGGACGAAGGCGAACTGATTGAAGTTGTGGAAATACCTCTGCAAGATTCTATGAAATTTGCATTTGATGAGACTTTTCCTAAAACTATGGCAGTTATCTTCAGTTTCATGTGGTTTCAGTCCAACATAGCACCAAAACTGCTAGAAAAATAAAGCATTAAGAGATTCTGGAGAAATGAAGCAGAAAGATGGGACCATGTTGGAAGCAATCTTTCAGGATTGTCTAGTTCTTAAATTTAGTATAGTAAAGTTCATAAAATTCATATGCTAAGAATGGCAGATAAGTAACTCAAGTTTAAATATGTTTTTCATCCCATATTTTATCTTCCACGGAAAGAATTTGACGGAAGGGTATTTGCAATACATGAAAGTTGTCCAGTCAGAAACACAATTTTCTGACAAGAACTAATAGGCAAACACAAATGGATAATTTATCATGAGATAAATGAGTTTGTCAAGGAAAATGTGAAATAAGGAGAAGAAATGATAACAAAAGATTACATTTGTTAGTGGTTATTTACAATTATTAAAAAGATTTAAAGTAGATAAAAGAATGTGTGGTTTTGATCATTATAAGATTAAATTTGAAATAGAATTGTGTACAACAATGAGCATGCAATTGCTAAAATGTATAATAGAATATCTGTTGCTCAGGGTTGATCTGTGGTGTTCTTGGTGCTCTCTGAATTTGGTGGTTTGCTTGCAAATGTTTTATTACCCAACTGGGTAACATCATCAGTTTGGTGAGTGTGGGGTTTGCTCCCTCTTTATATACAATAGTTTAATATGCCAATGTACATATAAAATGTATAAACATTTAATGAAATTTGAAAAAATAAAAACATGAAAAAATGGATGAGTGAACTAATTTTTTGGAAAGATTCAGCATTATGGAAGAATAGTTGGCAATGTTGATGGAACTTGCTGAGATGGCTAAATTGACTTTCTCAACAGAGAAAAGATAATGTCTATGTTTATTGCTGACTGGAAACGCCTCATATGGACTTTTTGCATGAAACAAAGCTACAACACACCAAGAAGCCCCTGAGCATATTTTTTTCCTGACCTTCCTGCAGTTGTGCTGAACTATAGCATCCCCCTAATTCATGCGTGGTCTGCACTGGCCCTCCTAGGGTCTGCCCACTCTCCTATGGCACCCTCCTTAACCTGATTAACAATACAACTGGAAATATAACAATAGACAGGAATGCTGGAATTACAGTCGCCAAGCAATACAGTTGCATGGCATTTTGCTTTATGATCACATTGCTCAGCAATGGAAATTCTGGTCCCAGTTGTGCTCACAAGTATATAAAGAAGAGACACTGTAACAATAAAATAAGTAGTATAAATGTATGTTTGTGAAGAAGATTGGAAGCTGCTGCTTTGTATCTTCTTTCTTTTCTATTTTTATTTTTCCCTTTCTTGCACTTTTAGCTTTCTCTTTGAATTTTTTCTTACTTTATATTAATTTGTATTAGTTATCTTTTTAAAAAATATTTAAGAAAATTGTGTGGGGTTTTAAATACTTTTAAAGTAAAACCAAACTTATGCACGTGTATGTACAAAAACCAGAGCTTAGGGAATCTAGAATGGACAAAGAGGGAAGGATGCTTTATCTTTCTCTTTTCTGCACACTGTTTGCTTCAAAGGCCCTTTGGGACAGACGCTGGACTCGGTCCATTATTCAATGTAGCAGCTTCACTATAGTGGGTACACTGACCTCCCTTGTCAACCAGTGCTCCTTTCAGCTGGCCAGTGGGAGAGCGCAAAACTAGGGCAGCTCCATTTGCCAACCTCAATCTTCCTTTACAAGTGTTTCTCTTTACAGTGTGGTACCCAGGATATTATAAACATTATAACCATTTAAAATAAGGATAAACAGTGTGGCATGTTCATTATTTTCATAAATAAAATAGTGGGTTTTTTTCTCAATTCCAAATTAAGACACGGGGATCATTCAGCTGACAGCTAAAATTATATTTTAACTTTAGAACTACAATCTTCAGTAATGCTGTGAAATGTGCCATGATTCCAGGCCCTGAATAGAACAGCCATCCTTCACAGCAGAAGAAGTCTAAATTATCTGCAAATGAAAGGAAAGGAAAGCTTCTCCTGATCTCAAATGTGCTGTTCACTCACTGCATTAGCATTAATTACCATCGCAATGCTATCTGTGTCAGGAAGGTGATTTAAAATGCATGTTCCAAAGCAACTTATCTCCAGAGATGTGCTGTACAAGAGACAGACATTCTTCAGTAATGCTGTCAGCTAAGGCCATTCTCCACTGGTATTCTGTGGCTGTTAGCAATAGACGATTGGCTTTACTCAGTACTGAATTAAAGCCCAGAGTAATGTGCAAGATCATATTCCTATCACCAAATATAGGCAGCATCTACAGGATCTATATTGTGTGTATGCGCGCACACACGCGTTTGTATGGTGTCTGTGTGGTTTTATTTCTGAGGCTTCCTCTTTCTGCTATGTAATTCAAGATGGACAGTGATTAATATTTATTGTTAGTTATATGTAAAGGTGTAGGTTTATACATATGTTATATGTAGCATATTTAAATGTGGGTTATGTATGTGTATACCTTTGAGAGCAAGCAACAAATTTTGATTTTTAAATGTGTGCCAATGTGCTCACAGTAAAAAATGACAATAAAAGTTTATCTACCTAGCTATCTTATCAGTTTCTTGGGCATGCATTAACATCCACTAAATTTATATTCAGGCATTGCAATTTAGTATGGTTTTTGCAGGAATTGTAATTTCTGAATTTAAAAGTATACACATTCCTGCCTGATCAGGGGGTTGGACTCGATGACCTCCAAGGTCCCTTCCAACATCATCATCATCATCATCATTATTATTATTATTATTATTATCATCCTCATCATCCTCATCATTATCATCATTATTTACTACTTGCTTTAATATGAACATATGCCATAGTCACATTATAATGCCCTGGACTGCATGACGCCTGGCAGCTTTGCTTCACAATGCCTTGATGCTTCCCCTTCTGTTTCTGTTTGGAGGCAAGTAAAAATCCACTTCAACATGGGGTATTGCACTTGTTCAAAGTGCGATGCTGCTTTCCAGAGCTTCACCAACAAGCCACTTTGTCAAAATCTTGATAGAAAGGCTACCATCCCATAGTGCTTTGCTTGTTATATGTTTTTCAATGACAATAACAGTCTATGAATTGGCAGTGTTTGCAAAAAGTTATGCCCTATTTATATAGTTCACTCAGGAGTGAAACATAACCTCTTCCCAATAAAGCATGTCCAGTAATAAATTTCCCATAAATTTCTTCTTCTTCAGCAGTGTTTCTAGTTTGGCACAGATGTTGAAATATCAGTCACTAGGGGAAAAGTCATAAACATTGAATGGGAACAATTAAAATATTAAGGGATGCATAATATCAAGAGAATGTATAGGAGAATGCATTTTGTGCCAATCAGCAAAGGTCTATGCAAACAGTATTTTATACAAATCCATTGTTGCTGATATCCCGTCTCTGGAACCAATACAAATAGTATCCTGTTATGCAGACTGATTAAGTTTACATTATTCGAGGAATGTTATCATTGGCTTTCCATTAATTTTGGCTCTGTTCCAAATCATCACATTCATTATTAGAATAGGCCCAGCAACATACAGGCAGCTAGTTTTAAGCATATTGGATAAGTATATTCTTAGTCCTGTTTTCTGAATGCTGCTTAGTAAATCAAACCTCAGGGGAATGGGTGTGGGTAAGAGACAAGTACAATTTAATTGGTTTAAGGTGGTAAAATCCTTGGCTCATGCCTGAACAAGATCAGAGTATAGTTTTGTTCTTATGCATGACTCTGAGGGACATTGAATTGGATATTTCAGAGTGAGCACACATAACTTTGCACTATGGTTTCCTGTTTCTGCAATCCATATTTGCATTAATTTCATATTTCCCAGATTGAAAAAAAACCAGGATTCCTTACTTTATCACCAATTACTATGATTGTGGGGGGGGAAGCCATATGTCATCAGATGATCAGAGTTGCTCGACAATGAGATGGATGGCCTATGTAGGGGGTCAAATTATTCTCCATAGGGCAGGAGAAGAAACAATGGTTGGAAACTGATCAACGAGAGAAGCAACCTAGAATTAAGGAGAAAGTTCCTGACAGTGAGGACAATTAACCAGTGGAACAGCTTGCCTTCAGAAATCATGAGTGCTCCATCACTGGAGATTTTTAAGAAGAGACTGGACAGTCACTTGTCTGAGATGGTATAGGTTCTCCTGCTCAACCAGGGGGTTGGACTAGAAGACCTCCAAGGTACCTTCCAGCTCTATTCTATTATATAAATTTAATAAATAAATAAACTAACCAACTGGCTCGTCACCCAAGTTAATTGTCATGGGCTAAGAGAGTGTGACTGTCCTAAAGTTACCCTGCTAGCTTCCATATCTAAGGTGGGCCTAGAACTCATGGTGTCCTGGTTTCTAGCCTGATACCTTAGCCACTAGCCCAAATTGTTTTTCTCTTCAAGTTATAAATATTGTAGGGAAACATACCTCCCCCGTGTTATGTTTTCAACTATGAAAAAGGGAATTCCATGAACTATAGTATTGGTGGGATACCAGAAATCCTAATTTGCTAATGAAGTGGCTAACTAGTGAAAATTGAAGGAACATTTTATACACCTAATTAAAAATTCTGGTCCTACAAATATAGGTAGCATCACCAGGTGATAGTAACGCTTATTGCAAAACCCATAAAATAATTATGATTCCCAACTGCCAAAGGATTAGAAATTATAGGAAGTGCAGCCTAGTGATTGTCCAATGCCTGGAGTCTTTGCAGGCCTGGCTTAACAAAATAGGACTCAGTTCTACCAAGATCAAGTGGTTATGGATATTAGAGCCTTCTGGACCCAAGGATTGTCCAACTATGCTCGTCAATGGAGTAGCACTTGCCAATAAAGACAGGTATACAAACTGAGGTCCTTTTGAATTCACAGCTACTGCTTGAAAAACAGCTTTGTCAGAGAGAATCTTTGCGAAGCTCCATCTGGAGCACCATTTGTATTGGATCTGGGTGCCCTTCATTCAATCACTCATGCCATAATCACCTACCACAATGTGCTATGCATGGACTGCCTTGAAATCTACTCAGAAGCTTCAGTTAGCCCAGAATGCCATGGCAATACTAACAATAAGCATGCTTCAAGAAGCCCATGTGACACTGCTGCTTCATGAATTGGTTGCCAGTGTACTTTGGGTTGTGATTCAAGATGCTGTTAATTATCTATAAAGCCCTTCTTGGCATAGCATTGGGATATTTGACAGACTGTCTGTCTCCCATGGTTTCTGTGTAGCCAGTACATGCCAGCAGATCTGACATACTCTGGATTTCTTTAATCAAACACTGTCATCTATCAGGACTCAGGAAATGTTCCTGCTCTGTTCCTGAAACTCATATGGTTCCCATCTTGTCATTCTGTAAGATATAGTTGTTGTCCCAAGCCGTGTCTTAAGATGGATGAAGTCTTTGTTGAATGTTTTCTCTGTTTTTTTATATAAAGTGACTGGATCCCATCTTGTTTTGCATTGTGTTTTTATGGTTTATTATAATGTGAGCCATTTGGAATCATCTTGGAGTGGCACCTAAATTGAATTAAATAAATTAATAAATGAAACTGCAAGTACCTGCCAACAAATCTAAGAGTAGAAATAACGTAATAAAGTCAAGGAAAGAGGCAAACAAATCCTTCCTTATCAAACTTTAATTAACCGGCATGAAGATAAGCAGGAACAGTAACAGATAAACATGAACAATCACAGAAGAAACAGTAACTGACCCAAAAG